CGGGCGGGCCCGGAGGGGGGGAGCCCGCTCGGGAAGTGGTGTTTCTTTTCCCGGAGTGAGGATTCAAATGCTGCGTGTCGACATAGGGGGGCTGTCGGTGCTGGTTTGGAGAGGCGTTCCTCTACAGCGGGTTTGCAAGAGGCTTTTAAAGAGGTCAGTCTCGCAATTGCTAACGGAATTGGCAAGGCTGATCTTCCCGGCAAGTGCCACGATGCTAACTCTAAAGATCTTAAACAGACGTTTATTTTAATTAGAGAATATATAGCAATATATAGTAACGTCATCCTTACTTATCATTACAGCGTACTGTATGCAATTGAGTAACGCAAGAACGTATGGCAAGCCGGGAAGTCTCATTACCACAGTAAACAACATTTATACTTTCATCTTAAGTACGCTTTTAAATTTTAACTAATTAATCCTCGTGGTAGTACTGGTAGGTACTGTTGTGTCCAGGTTGCAGCTGGGGAAAGGGGATCTGAGGTTCACCTCTGTAAAAGCCGACGCGAGCAAGAGGTGGCGGTCCTGAGAAATGCCGAGCAGCTACTGCTGCCAGTCAGGTTTGGAAGTCGGGCATGATTGTTTACAGCTGTAAAATGAAGCAACCAAACCAAGCGATTAGCTTCTGGAAATAGTTTCAATGACCTCTCCAGCCTCACAACGTAAGGCGGTGGTAAAATCGGGACTCAGGTTTGGGAAGAGCTCTATGTGTGGACGTACTCAGCTCGGCGTCCACGCGAATCGGCAGCTCTGGACTTTTAAGAAGTAGGTTTATATAAGCTAAACAAACTACTCTTACAAACGTTCACATAGGATCAATTATTAAAGACAAGTTCTTGCTCTCTAAACTTTTGTAGTACCATTCCTAGAGCAAAAATAAAAACTCCCTTTCTTTGTTCAACTAGTTTTAAAAGAACAAAAATCCCTCCAACAACCTAGGAGCCTTAGCAGACGCAGGTTTGTTAGGCTGCGGTCCTGCATCTTCTGCATCCTTCCTTTCTGTGCTTACACTCATGTTCGCTGTCCCTTCTGCCAAGCTGCCAAACCAGATGGGAAGAACAAAATGCTGTGTCTTAAACCTCTAGCGCAACTGGTAAGCTTCGTGGAAAGAGAGCGTGAAGGCAATGAGCCAGAAAAGAAAGTAATTTTATTGGGACTACTTACCTGCCTGTGGTAGCCAAACGTATATTTTCGTGGTGCCTGCTGAACAGAGCCCCAGACTGCGAGGTCCTGGAGACCCGCTTGCATCTCTGTAGTTGACCCGACGGATGGAACGCGTAGACGTTGCGTTGGTACAAAGCAACGATTTTACAAGCGGAGAGAGATGCTGTGCTTTTTTTTTTTTTTTTCTAACCAGCCGGCGTAGTAACTTCTTTCTGGAGCGTTCATTGAAAGGCACGAGACAATTTTGCAGCTGAGCAATAGGAAGAGGGATTGGACCATTGCCAGGAACGCGCACCTCAATCAGTAATTGAGAGGAACGTTTCCTCGTACACGAATGCTGGGTAGCGTGGGAGATACCTGTTGATCTTCAGTTACAGGGTCCCTTTCATTTCCAACAGGTTCAAAGATCACAAACAACTGTCCTGTAAAATCAAGGGGGGGGAAAACAGTCCTACCTGGCAACAATGAGGTACGTTGAGAGGTTTTTTTCGACTAAAATGATTTACGTTCGTATTTTCAAGCGTGGTATATGCACTGTGGAAAAAAAATGATCAAAACGTCTGTGAAAAAACACACAGATACTCTCTCAAAAATTGTCATGGATGGGGCTGTCCTGGATCCCTTAATTTGTTCAGAATTACTTGCTGAAAGCCTAGAAATTACTAATGGAGTCACATGAGTAATATGTATAGATGAGTAACTGTCTAGTAGTAAACTTAGAATATTCATCTTGTATTCGGTTCGTACTAATCTTGCGAGCAAAGGAGGAAGAACAGATGCGGATGACACATTTGAGCTGCGAACTGTGGAATGCAGTGGCTGCTGGCTCCTGCTGAGATGACAATTTATAAATGTCTGGAGAACCGGGAGTGCCACCTAAGAGGCATGAATGTCGGGGCGACCTTTGTGGGAGCCGCTTTTTAAGAGCTCCTGTTCAGTTCCAAGATCGGGAGGATCCAGCAAGCCCTGCCTTGTGCTAAGGCTGCTCCCCCAGTTAGCTGATAGGTAGCACCTAGCATCTGACATTTCCAGTTAAGGCTGAGTTCTAGATTTGGCAGTCCAGCTGTTGCTGATGTTCTTGCATTCCTGCATTACTCCATTTGGCACGTTTCTTTTGCTCTACCTGTGTTAATAGCCTCAGTTAGCATGATCGGAATCGTATTTTCCACATTAATAACCGTTATCGAGCAGATATACAAAACTATTGGCAAAATGTCCAGCAAATCGGTGATAGAGATTGTTCCTTCTGTGTGTGGTGCCTGAGCAACGGAAAAAGAGCGAGCATTTAACTTCCTCCTCTCTGCCAGAGCTCTTGAGGAGGCTCCTGCTCTCCCTTTTGTCTCCCAGCTAAGACAGAGCTCCCGCAATGCTGCAAATACTGAATCTGTGCAAATTTGCTTGCCAGTTTCAGCTGGATGGGTTTGGTGAGGTATGTAAATGTTCAATCAAAAATGCGGTACTGAGAAAATAAGAGATGATGAACAATCTGGAGTTAAAGAATTACTGTAGATTCATTTTCACAGAACAAGGAAATTCTAAGTTAACCAAAAAAAAGTGAAAAGCAAATAAACGTAGAAACCAAGTACCAGAAGTATCTGTCTTGATAGTTGAAAGTAAGCGGCCCAAGTCCTAAAATCTTCCTTACTTATTCACTTCGACAAGTCTACTTGATACTATGGGAGTTTTGCTCAAGTAAGGGAGATAACTATACATGGGATTAATGACTTTTCCTTTCCTGTTACTTGTTTTAAAGGTATTTTCACTTCTGCAAGCTTCCAGGAAGAGTTATGGGAATCCGCCTACTACGCTTCACTTCTGTGGTGATCATTGTCTTACTTCTTGTGGCAGGTGCTTTAACAGCTTTGCTTCCCAATATCAAGGATGACAAAATGCCCAATTCGAGAAGGGAACCAAAAACCCCGAGTCAGTCTGCCTTGGATTCATTTACTCTTATTATGCAGACATATAATAGAACTGACTTACTGCTAAAGCTTTTAAATCATTATCAAGCCATCCCCCACCTACATAAAGTAATTGTTGTGTGGAACAACGTTGGTGAGAAGATACCAGAGGAAATGTGGAATTCCCTGGGGCCTCATCCCGTCCCTGTTGTCTTCAAAGTTCAAACTGTAAATCGCATGAGGAACAGACTCCAGAATTTCCCTGAGCTGGAAACAAAAGGTAATCAGCAGTTCATATCGCTACTACTAATAGTATTTTCAGACTTAAAATCTGAAAGCTAAAAGAGGGATGGTTTGAGTTATACTGTATGATAAATCCATGGATGTGTTGGGCCACTTTGTAGAACGTGGGTAATGTAGAAGCAGCCCATGTTACGGTAACAGATGCACACCACCGTCAGCGGGCTAGAGGCTGTCAATGAAGAGTAAGGAAAAAAAAGAGGGATGTCAAATGCATTTCATGGGCTTTTGCAACTTGTCCGTTCTCCGTTTCCTTTGTCAGGCAAACATAGGTAGTTCAGCCTCTCTTCCCCTCATGGTGTAAACTGAAATTCATAGTGCATGTATTTGTTGAGTCTCTGCGTTAATTTGGACTTAAGTCATCTGGTAAAGACTTGATTTAATCCATGCATTTTAAGACTAAGTTCTCAAGGATGTTCTGCTCCTCGGAGAAACTTCCCTCCCTAGCAGTCTGGCTTTCTACCTCAAATTATGCATCCTTTTTCAGCGTATTTTCCCCATTCTTTTGGCTATGCATCTAAATATTCTTCCTAAGCTCTTTCCAGGAGAAGCACAACAATAAGCACTGTTTGTTTCAAGTGGAAAAAAACCCCATATGTTGCATTACAGACCTGACCTTACTCATGATTAGTAAAGGTAATTCTGTTTACTGCCCCCTTCCTAACATGCCCTGCTACTCAAACCCCATGATTTCTAGGAAGATACCAGATATTTCAACTTCCCAAGTGTTTTATTTACTGTAATAGGATTTATTCTGACTATAAACTTAAAAAGCTTTAATGCATCTGGAGTTCTGATCTAAGGATAACTTTCCTTTTCCACTTCCTGATAGTCTTTTGCCTAAAATTCGAAGCAAAGATTCTCCCTTCTGTAGTTAATCATATTGAATGTTGCCCGTGCAATTTATTAAGCTTGCTTATTCAGAACTTGCAAGTAGTGAGGAGACGGGTAAAATTTTATACTAATAATCCCGTATAAATCTCGTACACTAAAGAATGGTATCTAACTCTTTATTTTAATTGTATTCTTACACAAGATGAGTAGAATATTAAGTTGCTTTGCCAGCCAGTCCCGAGTTTTCCAACACATATCTGTCCAGCTGTACTACAGATGGTCAAAGGTTGCTGAGTTTCGTTACGGCCTGGCAAATAATCTAAAACTTAGGTTTGCTTCCAGTTACCACAGAGCTGCAACCTTGCTTTAGCTTTGAAATCTAAATGTGTTTTCTCAATCCGCTTTCGAGGGGTTACAATTCAGTTCTGCAATTCAGCTGAACGGTTACAGAAGTTTCACAGCTAACTTGTCAAATACTGTGCTGCATACTGTGCTCATGTATTTAATCTTTTGATAAAAGTTTTTTTTTTTTTTTTTCTCTCCCTTCAGCTGTTTTAATGATGGATGATGATACACTAGTCAGTGCTCATGACCTTGCTTTTGCCTTTTCTGTTTGGCAGGTAATGTTTTGCACCTTGGCAGGCAGTATTTGTGAGCTACAATTGAGATTAATGGTTTTAAGTAGAGTAATACTACATCATAATGTTTTACCATTGATTTTCTAGCTATAAAGTTAAATTTCAGAAGGATCGAGGCATTGAATAGTAGAAATTGCAAAAATATTCTTCAGTAGTAGCTATACTTGTAACCTATACATTTTTAACTCTTCTTGTACATGAACACTGAAGTTTCTGGCTGCTGAATTTATTTAAATTGATAGCAGGCTGCAAAAGAAAAGTGTGGGTTTTTTTTCTCACTAAGAGAAATTGCCTGTAAACTTATTTTGAGTGCCAAATATACAGCTGCAAATTGTGGACAGATGTTTCTTGGCACTGCCTGATGTGGAATGAGGCATGTTGTGTCGGTTTTGCAAAACTGTATTTAATTGCAACATTTATGCAGATCAGAGGACCATATGCCAACAATTTCATTCTTTCCTGGCAATAATTTTGTGCTCCTCTCACTTAAAAAAAAAAAAAAAAAAAGCATAAATCTCTCTTATGAAGATACTTAACACATTTCACAGTGTGGGCTTCCTTTTGATTTTTTTAAATTTCTTTTTTCTTTCAGCAATTTCCAAAGCATATAGTGGGATTTGTTCCTAGAAAGCACATTTCTACTCCTTCAGGTGTATACAGTTATGGCAGCTTCGAATTGCAGAACCCTGGATTTGGAAATGGAGATCAGTATTCTATGGTTCTTATTGGTGCAGCATTTTTTCATAGCGGGTATTTGGAAGACTTTCAAAGACAGCCAGAAGCTGTTTACGCCTTAATAGATGAAACTCAAAATTGTGATGACATTGCCATGAATTTTCTGGTAGCCAAGCATACTGGAAAGCCTTCAGGAGTGTTTGTGAAGCCTGTTGATATAAGAAATTTAGAAAAAGACACTAACAGTGGCTATTCTGGAATGTGGCACCGAGCAGAGCATTTGTTACAGAGATCCTACTGTGTAAATAAACTGGTTAATATTTATGATGGCATGCCTTTAAAATATTCTAATATCATGATTTCTCAGTTTGGTTTTCCTAATTATGCCAATCACAAAAATAAAATGTAAGCCGATGAATTTCAGGGGTTAGACGTTAAACAATACTCAGTGAATTGTACTGAGTTCCAGGAGAGAAGAAGGTGTAATTACTGCATCTTGGCCATCCTTATTTGTAGCCTCTGAATTTTTTCCATTTGGCTTTTTATGTATTTTTTTTTTTTCCTTTCTTACTAATTCTCCAAGGTAAGTTTTGAGAAAACTTAAAGAATATATACTAACATTTAGCTGTGATAAAATCATCCTCCTTCCTTAAAACCTGAAAACCTACTACAATTAATTAGGCCAGTTCTTCAGAAACATGCAGGCAAACATGCACTTCTACCCTTCGGTGCTTATGTTTTGATTTTTTTTTTTTTCCCAATATATGTATCTAGTCAAATGAGGTCTAGGCATATTTTTGATAGTTACATGTTGAGATGCTTCCTTGCCTTCCCCTTCCTCTCCTCACCTCCTCCTACTGAGTTCCCAGTGAAACTACAGAAGGGCAGAAACTACAGGTAAAAAGTCAACTGTTGGCCAGGCTTCCAGACTCCTGTACAAAACCCCTCTGAAGTTTGTATATAAGCTATTCTGCGTTCTGAGATGTTCCTGAAGCTGCTGTGAAAGCAAGCCAGAAAAGAGCACCTCACCTTAATCCCAGATAGTCCTAAAACCATTGCCTACAACGTCTGCTGCTGCTGAGATAGTGGAAAACGATCTCTGATGTGGCTTTTTTTCCTATCATTAATTTGCCTAGAGTTGCTGAAACACTGCAAGCAGCTGAAAGGTAAAACCTAGCAGTTGGAAATACAAGAAACACGATTAAATGAAATATGAAACTTATATAAGCAGCCAGAAGAAACGCGTGGGATATTACTTACTAATACTCTCTTTAGTACTTAGTTTTATTTTGATATTTTGCATGTACATTGTTACAAAAATGTGCCCAAGAAAATCCTCACTTTTTTAAAAATGTCTTACAATTCCTAATAAGAGCAAGCTGTTCTACGTTTATTACAGAGTGTACATTTTGTAATATTACAGGTCTACTGTTTTTTTAACTACTCTTTCAAATGATTATTTACTTTTTGGTCCCTTTCATCTCTGTTTTTGGTGGCTATGACAACAGAATTTAAATGTGCAATGAATGGGTAAAGCATTATATAAAAAAAAAAGTATTTTAAGGTACAGTGATATTTGACAGGGCTGGACTATCATCAGTCTCTGAATTCCCAGGCTTCATCTATCACAAGAAACAGAGCTATTGTTAACAGCTTTTGTTAGACTGGGACTCTGTAGTTCTGGAAGCATTGTGTTAACGTAGACAGGACAAACCTTCTCCATTGCTGTTACAGAACTTTTTTGTGGTACGGGGGAAAGAACAAAAGACGTTGATTTTCCTGGATCACAGAGAGGAATCAAATCTGGCATCCAAATTAGATTTAGTTTCGCTTGCATCAACTTTTAATTGATTGTTGGTATCAGTTCAAAGGTATCTGTGGGCAATCAATAACAGCTAATACCTAGTACACAAAGAGCATCTGCACAAAGGGTGTGTAATTTTGTCATTTTTTTGTAATAAGTTAGCTGAACAAAAAGTGGTTGAAAAATGTGACGAGTTCTTTACAGTCTTTGGGTTTCTTTGGGGGAACGGAGGATTCTTTTGCTGTGTTCTATCAGTGTTAAAGGATTTGGTTTCTGTTCAGTGAAGTCTTCCTAGTACTTTTGCAAGATTTAAAGGGCAAAATCTGAACATGGCAATGTAAAGTCTGCTTAATTTTGTTGTAATAGTGAAAAGTAGCTTTTAATTATTGTGCTGCAGTGATAAGTAGTATACAAACAGGTCTATGATCTTTCCAGAAATGCAACTTTCCTAGTAGCAGTTTACTGCATTTCATTTACTTACTGGTCTTCTGTAATTTCCGTGCAGTATCAGCTAGAATTGTGAAGACTCACAGATGTTGTTTATGTTACTTCTAAAATGTGAAATGACCTGTCAACTCGGCCAAATCTTAGTATTGGGTTCTTTGTTGAGGGGAAGGAGTTGTTTTGGGTTGGGTTTTTTTTGTTCTTCTGTATCGGTGAAAGAATGAATAGAACATGCTTTTATTATACTGGTAAATTTAATTTGTACCATTGTCAAATAAAATACATAAAACAGATTTGCGATGTATTTATTTTCAGATTATTGACCAAGTTTTTCAGTGTTAGATGTCTACAGTAAGTTCACAGTTTGCATACAGATGAGCAGCACCAACATTTCATTTTTTAAAAAACGTGTACTTGTTGGCACATACATTCACTTAATTTAGGCAAGGCCCATTCATGAGGAAAAAAAGGTGTCAAAAACCACAGCCTTAAGCAGTCTAGGCTTAGATAGCAAAGAAAATTCAAAGATAAGACTTCAGCTCTAGCCATAATTCATTGTGCTTAGGAACCAAAAGGGTTTTGTTTCTTTTTTAAAGGCTGGTAACTTTTTCTCCCTTGATAGTTATAAAAGTGCCTTAAGATTCTTTAATGAAATATATTACTGAGAAGTTATATTTTTCACAAAATAATATGCATGTGATGATTTCTTCTTAGAGATTATCTGGATGTCATTTGGAAATATCTTGGAGTCTACACAGATTCATCACCACCTCTGAATGTTCTGTAGAAATTAATGTTTATGCAACACAGGATTTAAAAAATGGTATCTAAAAGATATATTTAAAAAATCCTTGTTGAAAAAATCAGGATATAGTCTTAAAATGATGCAACAGGACTACAAGAAAATTGCTTCTTCACCTACAGTTAAATAAATGCCACAAGATGTCACTGTAGCCTTGATATTTGATATCATCAAACGTTAAAAATAGTAGTTGGAATTGATTATAATAAAAAAATCGTCTGAGGTAAAAACATTCTTTAAGCTAGCATTTTACAAGGTGAAATTCATTAGATAATTGTACTAAAAGCTACTGCAAAAGCAGTACTGGAACTGAAAAAACACGGAGGTTATTTTGTACGTATTTTTACAGGGAAGAAGAGAAAGATTATTTTAAGTATTTTCTATGCTTACAAAGGCTGTAGCTAATTGCCACAAATGAGAGCTTGCATGCAACCAAAACAGTATTTGTAATTTTGCAAAAGGTATAGAAGCCATACACAAACAGCATTTGGCAGCGGGGCTTCAGTTTCTAGTCATGTTTGCCTCCTAGATTGACCAGCCTAGCTAGATGGATTTACAAATAATAGGCTTTAGCACAAACGATGTATCTAGGGATTCTAAATACTGGATAGCTGGCCTGTTACGCTGCTTCATCTTTGCTGCTGTTGCCCAAGATACCTTAGTTCAAGCTAATGTGAGTATGCTCAGACAAACTCCCCTCAAGTAGCATGCAGCACAGACTTGGAAATATAAGTTACATTGGACTGTAGTGAAAGTTTCAGTAAAAAAGGGTGTGAAAAAAACTATGGTTCTGGAGAAAATACATTGATACTTCTTTTCTGTGTAATATATTGATACTTCTTTTCTTTATGTTACCCCTTAGAGAATTGCTTGTAAATAAAACATGAAATATTTGATTTAATGGAGGGTTAAATACAAGTGGAAGTCATATAGAACAATATAGGAAAAGATAAACACATCGATTTCCATGAAAAGCAAGTACCCTCCAACAACCTTTATTTAATTTGCTGTTACGGAAGACTATGGTGTCAGCCCAGCAAGCACCTTGTATGGAATAGTACTTACTACTGGGAATGGGACTTCTTACCCAAGTTCTCAGGACCAGGCCCAGAGAGAGTCGTATTTAGGAATATTAGTTCTGGAGCTATGGAAAAAAAAAGGAAAAAAGAGGAATGTAAGAACACAGATACAAATTATTAGAACCAACGCCAAAAATAAATAAGCAACTACAAAACAATTGCACAAGGGAAGCATTTTCTGTAGTGCTTCGGCGTATTTGGAAGGCTTTAAATGTTAGCCAGTGCTTACGACGCTGGATTAAAAACTGAAGAGTCAAATGTGTTTCACACTCGTGTTTAGCCTCATCTGCCGGCACACTAGAATTAATTATATGAACTGGTAGTTACAGTCGGTTATTTTATAGCGTTAGGAAAGCGCTGTGGTAATAATGTGGACCTCAGGGCTGCATATTGCTTTGTATTGCAGTGTTTTTAAGGTGCTTCAAGGGTGGTTTTTTTTGTTTTGGGGAAAAATAGCATTTTTTTTTTTTTTTTTCTCAAGGTCCATCTCCTTTGCAACCTTTTGCTTGTTTAGTTGTAAAAATGAGATGGCCCGTCTGCTCTGTTTGGCACTTACTCTTTCTAAAGGGGAGGGCGGCAGAAGGCAGGCATTTCTACCACTTTTAAAGCTTCTGTTCCTTCGGCGGGAGGTTTAACTGCGGGCTACACGCAAACGCAGCTTTTGCCAGTGAGCCACCAGGAAGCCAGTCTTTCACTTTTGTTAAAAGCTCCAGCTACAAGTAATTCTGTGTAGTTTGACGACAGCCTTAGAAGCGTCCGCGAACCTCTTCGCGGCGGGGTGACCTCTCGGAGGGAGCGGGAGCCCGCGGCTCCAACCGGGGCGCCCAGAGCTTCGTGAGGCGGCCGTGCGCGTCCGCCCGGGCCGAAGCAAGCGGCTTCCCCGACATCTTGCTCCCCCTCCGCTCTCCTCAGCAAACGACGCTGCCCGGCAGAGACAACCCCTCGCCGCAGAC